ATAAATTTTAGTTTTTTAATTGTGTGAGTCCTTGTGACAAACCAAATTGTAATTTTATTGTTTGGTAAATATATATAAATGACAGCTTCTCTCTCTAAACATCTTTTATCATGAATTGATAACAATTCAACTTTGCAGAAATACCAATTATATATAAACTTGCGCGTTCTTTCATTGAACTAAATAACTAACTGTGATTCCTCGCATAATCACTAATCATTGTTTATTCAAATATATGATTATGGTATATTCATATGTAATTGTATTCTCAAACATGTAGTTTCTATTACCTTTATCTTTTCTTCTGCCTCTCCTTGTTATCCTCCTTTCCTCTCTCATTTGGGGAACATATTGGATAGGACGAATCTAATAATAAATATATATATCTACCTATACAAAATGGACTTGTCAAATGTATTTTTACTGATAACACCTAATTATACAAGATGATATGGGAATCAGGTTCTGAGAATTTTTGACTGAAATTTAAATCATATTGCAATTTTAATTTAACATCATCAAAATTTTATTAAAAAATTCTAAGAATCTGATTTCCTAGCAATCTTCCCATATGCAAGCCATTAGAACGAAGTCAGAATAACCCGTTGACTAAGTGTATTTCAGCGAAGTTGTAGAATATCTTTTTAAATAAATATTCCGTCCCGCAGATCATTCCAAAAATAGGACGAAATAAAAAAAATTTTAATATATTAAAAATAGCTTCATTCTCTCTCTTTTTCTGCTTATGGGAACGTTTCCTGCAAAATAATTCTTGAGTATGGTATGATCCTTAATGTGATTTTACTGGCAACGCTCCCATATGTGATATTTTCGCGTTTCATGATATTCTTCTTGTTTTCAATATTCAAACATGTTAGTTGGTAGTACCTCCTGGAAATGATTTTTCTTGTCATTTCTGGGAAGTTGAAAAGGTTGATTTTATTTACGAATAGATGGAAACGAAATGCTATTAAATTTTATCTTGCAAAAAAATTTAAATATGAAAATACAGTACGTTGTGTAAATAATCATTTGTTTTATATCCAATAATTAATAGTTTTCTAATGTGAGATTCATATAGGAGGTATGTCAAATACTAACTATAATTGCGGGCAAAACTCATTTTAGCAAATGGCAAAAGTCGAAACCCTATGTTTCGACGACACGGTTTTTAATATATAGTTTCAATTGAACCGTCGAAACATAAAGGTTTTTCCTCGCAACCGTATTATTATTAACTTTGTTTATCTAATTTTATAATTCTCTTTTAATAGACCTGATTGAAAATGTGGAATTAAAATGCTTGGATTCAAAAACAGCACCAAGGTTCGTTTTTCCAACAAGGAAGACCACGTCATTATGGACAAAAAATTTGAGTAGTAAACACATTTTCACATTAAAATCAATTTTTTCATCCATCATGAACTATTTATGATATAAAAACCATTAAATGTTAAAGCTAATTAGATTTATATCTTTGTAAATGGAACTAAAGAAATTCTATTAGTGGTTACATGTTTAATGAACTGAACTTTGTCCTTAAGACTTAATCTTCAGAGATTCTACCAAATAAATATTCTCTTACTGCCCAATAGTTGGACTTTTGATCAAACAACTAATTTTTATGGATTGCGATAGCACAAGAAAATTGATTTGACATTCACCTGATTTGTAGACAATGGAGATGAAATTTGAATTGGAAACAACGAACATATAAGTGAGAAGTTTCTAGTAATCCTATTGATGAAGAAGATAATTTTTACCTTTTCATGATCATATTTATTTTTGGTGCTCATGTATATCGGAATGATCTTTTATTGTTGATGTAACAGGCGATTCTTTTGCAGAATTTCGTTACTTGCCGAATCCCATTCTTTTAAACCCAAAAACTTCGAAGAATGCATCAAATGTGCATATTCATATGTACATTGACGTCATGCTGCAGGATTCACCAAAATTTTTGGATTCTTAAACGATAATGATAAATTCTGAATAATTATTATTATTATTATTATTTGTTGTTTTTTTTTCACCGGTTTTAACCGACCCAAGAAATGATCGACAATTGTAAATGTATTGTTGCATCAATTAAATTTTAAACTTTCTAATTTAGGAAATAATTCAACATAAATAATGCAATAAATGGGAACAACATATAAATTCACCCCATCCTCTTAAAAAATTTTTTTACTTTCACAAAATGCCACCAGTTCGTTCCGTACCTTTACCAACCGAATGTCTTCGTATGATATTTCAAAATATATCAAATGATATTCATTGTTTACATACATGTATTCTCGTAAATCGTTCTTGGTGTAGAAATGCCATGTCATACTTATGGGCTAGACCTTTAAGCACTGCTTCTAAACATTACAAACTCATTCAAACGTATATTTCATGTTTAGAAGATGTGGATAAATTATTAATGGATGAAAAAGTTGTCGTTCTTCCGGATTTACCACCACCTTTATTCGACTATTCCAGTTATTTAACGGAATTTAGATATCATCGACTAAAATGGGCAGCGGAACTTTGGATTAAAATCAAGGATGAATTATCATCTTCTTCACATAATCCCAAGGCATTTGAAATTACGAAGGCATTATCTAACCTTTTGATGAGAAAATGTTCGAAATTAGATACCTTTTCTATTTATTGGGAGGACATGCCAGATTATACAATTTTTTCAAATTCCCCTTACTTATCAAGGATTAATAAGTTTTCATGTTTATTCTCGGATGAATATACTTATCGATATAGAGAAAGTAGTAGAAACACATTAGATCTTTTACAATTTCTTCCAACCGTTTGTAATGATATTCAATCTTTGGATTTCAGACAATGTGATTCGACGGCCGTGAACCGAGCGATGAAGGATATTATCTTGGCTATACCAAATCTTCAAGATTTTAAATATTATGGATCAAAGGATCTGATTTATAGGGAAGAAATTATTTTACCTGCTTTGAAATCACAGACGAATAACCTTTCCTCCCTCTTCCTTTGTAGAGTCTTGATCAATGATGCCATCTATGAAATCTTATCAGGGTGTGTTAATTTAGAAACGCTCGTTATTTCTGATTGTAAATGTTCATTCTCTTTAATCTCTTCAACAAAAACAAAATTTAATCTGAAGAAATTGCATTTAGAATTTTTTGTCTCAAAATCCATTGTGAAATCACTGATCCAAAAGTTTGCAAATGATAATCTACGATCTCTTTACCTTAATACATTATTTAAAAATACATATCAAACCATTTTAAAGATTTGTTCAAATATTGTTGAATTTCAATGTAACGAATTAAAATTTCACGAGTCCAGTAATTTATTTAATTTATTAGATAATTTAAATTTTCTAGAGAAATTAACTTTAACAGACATGGTTTTTGGAGATGATATCGGAACCGATCAGTTTTATAATTCATTGGGAACTCATTTACCTCCCACGTTAAAATATCTTAATATTGGTCAATTATATAAGCCAAAGAAAATTTTTGGTATAGATCAATTTCATAATTTACTAAAAAATTGTAAAGCATCATTAGAAACGATTATAATTAATCAACCGATAGAATATAACGATTCGGATTTTGAACAAATTATTAATTATACAAAGAAGACGGATTCGTTAAGATTTTTGGGATTGGATTGTTTAAGAAATAATCATCGGCAAAGGGTCAAAGAATTAAGAGAAGTTTTTGGTGTTTTTATCATTCCAAAATATGATTTGAAAAATTGGTGAATTTTATTATTTTTCTTTTTTTTAATATTTATATAAAAAAAAAAATAATAAGATAGATAGAAATATTTATCTGAAATAAAAAATTATTTATTAAATAAAAATTTATAATATTTAAATTAATTTAATCTTCAAGTTTTCATCCATCATTAATTAGAAAAAATCAGATAAATAATCTTTCCATAATTTTTTATTTTTAACGAAAATTAACTAACTGTCTTTCCTTTTTTTACTCGGACAAGATACAAAACTGAACTATTAACTTCGTTCTAAATATTGATAATATCAAAACCCTTTTCAAAATATTTATGTTGGAGCGGTTCCTTTTTTCCTTCATATTTTTCATATTCACGATCTTCGTTTATCAATCTCTGTCCATGGCAACTTTCCTTTCGCTTTTAATGAAAGGATTTTTTTTTAAATATTCAAAATTTAAGAATTAATCAAGGAATCATTTTAATCAAGATACATCCCCAGTATTAAAAAAAAAATCGATTGGGATTGCAAAATTTAGAGCTTAATATTTAATAATACATATTGGAAACATTCTGGCATTCATTTTTAATCAATTTAAACTTAAGTTAATTCCGAGACGTATCAGATGTCGAAGATTACCTTTGGATTAAATTCTTTCCTTCCTTATGAATAATGCCAAATCCTGATGCTGTCGATGCTAAAATGATGAACTTTTTAATGAGTCTGAGACATTGTGCACCTGGCGTTAATCATTCGCGAATCTGCTTAATTTACAATAGTTGTTCCTTCTGCCATTAAATGTTCTCTAATTCTTGTTGGTATTTATAACAAAGTTATATATTTAGAACTATATTCGCGAGTGCCGAACTTTAATTAAAAATTTAATATTGGTAGTTCAGCATAGAGGAACATGCAAATTATATATTAAAATATCTCTAAGTTTGATCAAATAAAATTTTTACAAATATTAATCCTTCACTCTTTTACCAAGGGAGTACCAAGTTAGATTTCGGAAGTATTGTAACATACATTAATGTAACGGTACATTAATTAAGCCTCTATAACCTTCAAACCAAGTCTTTTAAATATTTTTTGTTTTTAAAAATTTATTATTTATTTTATTTTACATATTATTAATCTATTGTTTTATAGATCATCAAATTCATAATTAAATTTTGTTAATTAAATTAAATGTTCTATTCCTTAAGAATTTATTTTAAATATTAATGTTTGGATTTTTTTAATCTATTTTTTACATTATATTGTCTAATAATATTCTTTTTTTTTACATTGCTCTAGGTAAAACCTTTCCTTTATTAACTACTTTAAAGTCAGAAGTTGTAGTATCAATAAATTCATAAAGCATTTCATCATCTTTTAAAATGGAATGTAAGAATCCTAATGTACCTTCCGGCATGCCCCAATCCTTTCCTTCACATCCTACATCCGTTCTACTACCAGCTCCTGAGGTGAAATATGTAACAGGTTGATTGGACTTCGTGGTTTCTAATTCTAAAACATGATTATGACCTGCGAAATAAGCAGCTACGCGATATTTTTCAAAGAGCAATCTCAGTCTTTTCATCTGAAAATGCTCTACGCATTTACCAATTAGAGGATGATGCCCTATAATAATTGATAAGTTTTAAATTGTTGTTTGAATGAGAAAAAGAATAATAAAAAAAAATGTTTAGATTTACTTACCGACGACGAAGATCCATTTGGTTTTTCTTGGTTCAATTAACTTACTTATCTTCAATCCATTTTAATTTATCTTCAATCGTTTGCATACCATTCCATCCAAACTTTTCAAAATTATGCTTCATATTCAATCTTTCTGGATCATCAAGATCCGTTGAATTATAATAGAAAAAATTCGTATCGATATGGATCCATGCGACTTTTGTTTCAAATGATCTCCCAAAGTATGATTCACGAACAAAGAAGGCTGATGGAAAGAAGAAACGAGAATCAATATTCAAGCTATAATCAATCTGAGCCGTGATATTTCCGTACCTAAATAATTTATTTATATTCGTGAGTAATTACAAAGATTTATTTATAGTTTTAAATAATCAAAATATTACTTACCATGGTAAGATTCGCCCCATTTCATCATAACATTAGCAACTTTAGTTTGATTTCCAACCTCCTGATTCACTTTAACCTTCGCATAGCCCCAATCACCAAAGGTTAAGAAATCTAATTCTTTGGATTTATACTTTTCTACGAATGGTTTATCAATAGGTTCAACCAAGTCATTTTTATAAGCATTCGTATTGATAGTTAGCAAGGCACATGTTATAATAATCGCGACACATAAATGTAGCCTCATTTTTTTTTAAGTAAGTAAAAACGTTATTTCTTGGGGGTAATTTTTTTTTTCCTTCCAATTTAAAATTCGATTGAAAGGAACAAGGGAGGCTTTATATAAACAATAACTTTGAAAAAAAATTCTGTCAATTATGTAAATTTAATATATTAAATCAAGAAATACGATAATAAATTATTTATTGAGATAAATGTTATTAATAAATTCGTTATTTCGTGATTTCAAATATTAAAACTAAACTAAAAAAATCTCACCCCCCCTTTTATACAAAAAATACAAATAATACAAAATATAATAAATTTTCAATTTTTTATTCGTGGTTGTCGATCATCGGGACTACACTTTTGCTATTTTTATTTCCTCTCATACTTAACAATCAATAATTCGACACGCTACAAAAATTTTCAAAAGAAATTCTATAATGTTCCTTTCCTCTAACATTAATTTAGACAACTTTTCAAAGTATTTGGATAAAAATTAAAATATCGAACAATGGGCGAGGATGCCAAGCCTACTTGGGTAAACAGGTATGGAAGCTAGTTATCAAACATCCATCGAAAAAATAATAATATAATATATCAATGTCTATATATTTGATAAATCTTCTAATATCTCATACCCATTTCTTTCCACTTTCTTTTATACGATACACACAAATGTACACAAATACATATACGAAAAATCTGAAATGCATAATTAAAGTGATTGAATTGAGAACACTTTAGAACGAAAATGATTTTTATCATGTATCTTAAAAGGTAAATCAGGTTAGTATGAAATCAGTAGTAATGGATTCACATGCAAGAATGATGAAATGTTAATTTGGTTATCAATACCTGGTATTAGTGACTGATTTAGTATCACGCCTATTAACGTTAATTGCTCGTGACAATTGGATTTTCTAAAATAATTAATCTATTTTTTTTAATTGTTTTATTTAATTTTATATATTTTTTTTTTATTTTTTATATTTGCCGGTTTGAATTATTATTACAACCCCATTATTATTATTATTATTTCTTATAACCCGTTATTTTTTTATGGATTTTTTTATTTTTAAATTTTACCGATTTATTTAATAAACATATTTAAAGAAAAAGAATTAAATTATTTTCAAAAGTTTTTTTCTCAACTTTTTATTATTTGATTTAACATTTATTATTTAAAAAATTTAGAGTCTCTCTGACCTTTTTTTTGTAATTTCTTTTTTCTACTATAAAGTATCTATATGATAGATAAATCAACATTTTATTATAAATAAATTTTATTATTAATTTAGGGTAATACTATTTGGCGACCCTGTCGCCATGGCGACCCTATCACGTGATTCGAGTTTGATTGGACAGAATGTAATATTTTTTTTTTATAATATCGTTAGTAGGTATCAAAATTTAACAGCAAAATTTTATTTATCTTAATGTATTTAA